GTAGTGGCCAGTCTTTGCAGTAGACCAAGAATGAATTAATAATACCTGCTATAGTTTCTGAATATATCCTCCCCTTACAAACAAATAACAAGAAAAAAAACTGAAAAGGAATATCTGGTAGGGCTTACCTGGTTTGCTTTAGCCTGTGTGAAACCAAATGCACTTCAATTTTTAATTCCAGAGCTACTAATAAGTAGTATGCCCTGGACTTTTTATATTAAACATTTATTTTGACTTCCATTAAATTAATTTACTTCACATACATTATTGAATACCTATCATATGATAGTTTGGAGCTGGGGCTCTAGCGCTGAATTCCTTCTCCAAGGGGCTTATGTGTAGTTTGAGGAAGATTGATAATAAACGCATAATGTGTCAAGTGTTGATAAGTTACTTGGATAACAAAGTATGAGAGTTGAACATATTTATTCCTGCCTGGTATGAATTACATATCCCTAATAGTTTCTCATTTATTAGCAATCTGGTAGTATTTCCTGAACCTTAGATTCCAGCTATTCCATGTGTTTTAGATTTTATTTCACTTTATTTTAGTAAAGGTCAGTTGTAGTACTTTCTCAATAGAACTGAGGCTGTGTGAGCTTGTTATCTTATGAGTTTCAAGGTTTAAGCCTTGTGGCGTGATGTTATGAGGGCAACCTGAGGGTTTTTACATTTTGTGAACTTGAATGTCTCTAGAGGGCATATGCATTCTCCAGCTCATTGAAATGCTCACTGCTCTTTTTTATTCTTATACCAGGCCTGTTTTACTCACTTATGTTAATGGCCTGGGCCTTGTAGGCATTTGAGTTTAGAATACCTTCTTTAAACAGTTTAAAAAATAGTGCACTTTTCTCAAGCTGGAAAATCTAACCTAGGTAAAATGTAGTTATTTAATGGTAATTTCATTTTTGTTTAGGTTCCATGCTTCATATTTTTTTTGGTTAGTCTGAACTTTTTTGTGGGCAAAGTTGAAAGCGATTTATTACATTTCTCTAGCTAGAGGATCTAGTTTTAGAATTCAGGACTGCACGCACGCACACACACGTACACACACTTTGAGGCTGTGCATGTCAAATGTTGGATAAACCAAACAGCTAATATATTTTGTTTGTTTTAAGTCAGAGATTGGGTTGAGATTAGCAAGAAATTCAATATCTTAACATTTTCTGGATTGTCATTTTAAGTGTTGACCACAGATTGGTATGAAAAACCTTCCTAATCTTTGGCTAAGTGTATGAATACCAACTAGTGCTCGTTCTTCGAACTCCCTGTAGCTCTGCAGATGCTTCTCTGTGTTCTGCTTTCCTTTGCTACTGTGGTGAAGATTGGGTGGCTCCTGAGAAGAAAGTCATGTTAGCCAGTGTCTTAGTCTGTTCATGCTGTTGTACCAGACTATCATAGAGTGGGTGGCTTATTTATCTCACACTTTTGGAGGATGAGAAGTCTAAGATCAAGGCGCTGGCAGATTCAGAGTCTGGTGAGAGAGCCTGCTTCCTGGTTCATAGAAGGCCATCTTCTCACTGGGTCCTCACATGGCAGAAGCGGTGAGGGAGTTCTCCAGAGACTCTAAATCCATTCACGTGAGGGCTCCGCCCCCATGACCTAAAAACCTCCCAAAGGCTCCACCTCCTAATGCCATCACATTGGGGGTTAGTGTTTCAACACATGAGTCTTGGGGGGACACAAACATTCACTCCGTAATAGCTAGCATGTAAGTGAATTGGTTTTCTGTTGTTTTTCAAGCAAAATATATGTGGAAATATAGCTTCTTTTTAGATGTGGAAATAGGATTTAAGATTTTCTACTGTGACTTGTGCCTTTTTCGTTTTGGTTTGAAAGTCTGTTTTCAAAGATATTTAAAACCAGAGCAGTTTTTGTTTTTTTTTTTAATGCCACATGAAAGACACCTGAGAGGCATCAGAAATCATTGCTTCTGTGGAACTTCATTCTGTCCTTACAGCTGCGGGACTTCACATCTTAGGTTCTTTTTCCTCTGTCACATCTTTGACTTGGAGATTTGCCAAAGTGAAACGTGTGCTTGGGAAGCAGGTGTCTCCCCAGCCGCAGCGCAGGGTGGAGCTAATTGAACCGAGTGGTCCAGGAACCCATGGGGTTGGTGTGTTCATTCTTGGCTTTCAGTACTTGAAGATTTCTTTCTGAGCTTGTCACTTACCTTCCTTAATTCCCAGCGTTTGGCATAGAGCAGGTGTATGATGTGGTTTAGGTGATAAACACTTGATAGGAGGTTCAATAACCTAGAATCACATAGTGAGAAAGTTCTTTGTTTTTCAGTTACTTAAAAAAATTTTTTTTTTTTTTAATCCTTCTGAAAGCAGAAAGGTGGTATTTTGGAGCTAGCGTGTAACACTTCTCAGCATCTGCCGATCTCCTTTATTCACAGGGAAAGCAAGCTTCACTCAGAACCTTTAAAGGCAGTAGGACCTACCTAGAATTTAATAACACTGTGTTTATTTCTGTATTGCACATGACACTACTTTTCTGTTTTTGATCAATTCTTATTTTGTTTTAAGTGCGAGTAGTTTTATGCAGAAGGGGGTGATTCTAGGAAGCACCTGCAGGAGTGTGGAGACAGAGACAGGGATGGTAAGGAAGCCATAAAGAAGGCGACACTGCGGCGACTGGAGTGGAATCCCAGTGGGGACTTGGGAGTCAGTGCATACTCACCCAGAGTAAAGGGAGACGCTGGGTATTTACACTGAGTTCTCATTAGTCATTACTTGATGGTGGCTCCTGGGGCTGTTAATTCTCTAGAACTTCCAACTGGCCTCTCCTTCAGGCAGAGCAACCCCGGCAGCCAGAGAGAACACTGGCAAAGACAGTGGCCTTTGTGGATCACTGTAAATGGGTGGGGTACCAACAGTTTCAGCTTCGCTCCCAGACGTGCTAAGCTTCTCCTACATCCTCCTCATCTTAGCCAACGGCAACCCCATCCTTCGGTGCTGAAGGCTAAAAACTTTAGAGTCATCCTTGACCCTTCTCTCACATCTCACATCCAAACCATCAGCAAATCTTGTTGGCTCTACCTTAAAATATATTCAAAATCTGACCTCTCCTCTTGCCCTCGCTGCTACCACCTACTCCAATCCCCCATCATCTCACAGCCTTCTAACTTAGTTTATTGCTAGTTAGTTTAGTTTATTATCTAAACTATTAGTTTATTATCTAAACTTAGTTAGTTATTGCTAGTTAGTTTAGTTTATTTAGTTTATCTAGCTTAGTTTATTGCTAGTACAGAAGCTGGAATGATCCATAGAAAATCAAAGTCAGATTACATGACTGCTCAAAACCTTCCACATGTCCTCATCTTAGAGTGAAAGGCAAAGTCTTTCCATTGCCCATAAGGCCCTCCAGCATCTGGCCTCCTTCTCCCTTTTGTGTGTGTGCCTGTGTGTGCACACGCATGTACAGTTCTTTCTGTTTTTAGTCTTACATGTAGTCAAAACATTCCTTTCCTCTCCATTTTCTTCCCTATTTTTATTTTTAGTGTGGGTTATGTGATTCATTTGTGAATTAGATTCATTTGCCACAGTTTGCCATTCCATCTTTACCACTACATCCTGGGTGAAATTTTGTGTTTTTTTCATACAGTGAATGTACTTTTTATAGTGTATAGTTCTGTTGGTTTTGACAAATGCATGGAGTGGTGTATCCGCTACCGCGGTTCCATACAAAAGAGTCCATTGTCTTAAAAATTCCTTCCTGCTTCCCCTTTGCAGACAGTCCTTCCTTCCACCTTCCAGTCCCACGGGCAACCACTGATCTGTTTTCCTCCCTATAGTTATGCCTTTATAAATAAGTGAGAGTCTTACCATATGTAGCCTTTTTGGTCTGATTCTTTGATTTAGCAGAATACATTTAAGATTATTCTGTGTTGTGTAAATCAATAGTTCACTCCTCAAGTGTCCTTTAAGTATATTTAAGCAAAAAAGTGAACTGATTTAAAGAAAATATTGAACAAACATGATATAGGTGGCACATAGACATGAGAAACGTCTTGAACCTGAATGACTAAAATTTGGAAATCAGTAGTGTGATAGAAAGATGCTAGGTCAAGGCTTTGCTTTACCTGGTACCTCTGCCAGTGATTAGCTGTGTGCACTTGGGGAAGTCAGCCTTCTGCTCTTGAGTTTCTGATAAAAATAAACAGTAAAATGGCTGATCCAGTAGTTGTTAGCTCCTACCATGGTTCATAAGACACAGGGTATCTTAGGTGCTTTGGGTAGCTCTTTTTAACATTAGCATTTCATTGTTGTGAAGCACCCATCACCCCTGGATTTCACAGTTGTTAGGACAACCTGTTACAAATGCTTTATTAAATCTATCATGGAGGAATAAGAGCCAGCCATTAAGAATGAGGTACGCCTTCAATGTAAGGCTCCAGTTCATCCACATTTTTTTTTCTGTTGGGCTTTTCTAAAGGATAGGCTAGGGAGAGCCTGAGTCAGAGCTGTAGTCATGTCCAGGAGGTACTGGTGGTGCGATAAATCTCTGTGAGTTTTTAGCACTGTAGCATTTGGAATTTAATTTCCATAGTCCTTTCCCTAGGTAGATTTCCCAGAGCTGTCTGTAAAGATGGATTGGAGGTCATAGTTTCCCAGAACTTTATCGTGGTTCATGCATAGGCCATCTTGTCACATCGTTGGCAATGTGTATTTGAGGGTCAGTGCATGTTAAGAACTCTCCACTGATAACGGAAACGGGGAAAGGGAACCAGAGATAATTGCTGTTTTGTTTTTATTTTTAAAGATGAACAGATTCATAGTAATTCTTTTTTAAATCATAATTAATGGCTGCTTAAAATCCCTGGCCAGGTTGGGATTTTTGAAATTGGAAATGGGATAATAATTGAGTTGTATTTAGGTGACACAGTGTCAGTGTAAAATCAGAGAGTAAGTGGGAGGAATTTGAGAATGCAAAATTGATTTGTGTTTATTTTACATGTGGCACATAGTAATATTAATTTTACTTTTTACTTTTAGTAATGAATGTTATAACTATTGAAGATTATAAGAGCACATACTGGCCAAAATTGGATGGTGCCATAGATCAGCTTTTAACTCAGAGTCCTGGTGACTATATCCCCATATCCTATGAACAGATATACAGGTAAGTCAAGATTTAATTTGCTTGGGTTTTAGAGGGTATAGTGAAGTTTACAGCAACTTGAATTATGACAGTTTGTATGCATATAATATATGATACCTACATTAAGGCTCTGTAAGTTATTTATATGTTCCGTACTTGTGGATTGGGGGTTTGATTTATACTTTTTGCTTCAGAATTGGTTTTCAAATGAAGATAGTGTTAATCCTACCTCAGCCTGCCACGCCCACCATACATAATGCAGAAATTATAGAGGTCAGTGGAAAAAGACAAAAAATATGTAGTTTTAGTGTCACAGGGAGATGTTAGCTTAATCTGTTGATGTTTGTGGCACACAAGTTTAACTATCTTTGGTTATTTTGTTTCCCAGCTCTTGGTAAATGGAAGTAGCAAATCAGTGAGGACTGGGGTGGGTTGTGAGGTCAGCGCAGTCACAAGAGGAGGAAGTGACAACTGTGCTGTTCTGCACAAGTGATGCACAGAGAGGTCATACAGCAGGCGTTTTTGTTAGTTGGAAACCTGCTGACTGTCACCCTCTCTTCCTTATTTTGACATTCATTAAAACGAGAGAGAAACTGGCTTATAAGTAGTTATCATAGTCAGACTCTCAGATAATCACCCAATATTAGATTATCTAATACTGATAAAACATTTAATAGAATACTCAAAAAGATTATTTGTAGCTGGTGATAATGTCTCCTCCATATGAACACTGATTGGGGCAGGATAACTTTTTGTTTTAAGAGTTGCAATTAGTCACTTTTTGAGGCCTGAATTAATTATTTGACCAGTGGTTACATATTGAGGGTATGCCTTAACCTTAGGTTGAATTAAGTGCTTCAACCTTAAAATCATTAACTTGGTTTTTCTGTCTCCCCTCCTCCCCACAGTTGTGTGTATAAATGTGTATGCCAGCAGCACTCGGAACAGATGTATAGCGATCTGATTAAAAAGATAACTAATCACTTAGAAAGAGTCTCAAAGGAGCTGCAGGTAAAGAACTTACGGTATTGGTTTTAGCTTCTTTGGGCTTTTCTGACTGGTTGGAATTAGCTTGTATATTATACCTTTGGAGGCTTGTTCATTTGATTATGATATAAATATATAAATATTTTATAGATGAATATTGATCAAATGTCTTATCTTTGGAATGGATTAATTTGAAAATTTGACATAAACTGTGGACATTTTTGAATTAAAGGTATTTCCGACTTTAATTCTGTTTATTACCATGCAATATTTCTTTCATGTAAAACCTTATTCTGTTAACCTCAGTATTTGGTGACTTTTATATTATAAACGTGTATATTCTAATTTTTTTCTGGAACTTTTTTGAAAATTATTATCTTTGAAGTGTTATTTGCCTACCAGTTTCTAATATTTGCTAATATAAACAACTGAAGTCAGCATTTTGTTGATAAACCCTCTACAGATGAACATCATCCCAGCTGTAAAATCTGGGGCAAGTTGCAGGAAATATTTTATTTAAGGAAGCACTTGGCTTCTTGATCCTACTCTGCCCCTCCCTGCCTCAGTAAAGTTTCCAGTGCTTGAAGGTCAGGTACTGTCTTTGTTCCAGGACCAGATCACATTTTAGTTGTGGTGTAGAAGTTACAAGATGTGCAGAAAAGTCACTCAGCAGTAGATCACCAGGGTCCACACCACAATTAGGAAGTGCTCCAGCAATTCTGAAATATCTACAGTTTCTAGCAAGTGCTGGGTTGCTATTTGGATATTCTCCTCACTTACCTTGTGTTTTTTGTTTGTTTTTTTTTTAAGTATAGCCAGAGCTGTGTTTATCATAGCCAAATATATCTTTTTCCTGTTGTTAGTGTAAATTGTTTTTGTCATCTTTTTGCCATTAAATACAGAACCTTTATTCATTTAATAAATATATTTAGTGCTGGGCATTGTATGTAAACCATAGATGAAACCTAAGATCTGCGCATTGTGGCTTTGAATGATTTGCTTACTAATTCTTGACTCTACCCTCTCTCTGAATCCCCGCGTTCGATTTACTGCTGAATCCTAGTTATGTCCTATTTCTCTCTTGGCTCCTGTCTACTTGGCCACCACCCAGTCCAGGCCACATCACCTCAAGTGTTTTACTAAAATGCTCATCTTAGTTGGTGCTCTGCCTCTAGTCTTAACACATCTAACTAGAATCTTGCGTTTCAGTCAGAGTGACTGTTTCTAAAGTATAGCTCTGATTATCATATTCCTATTAGAATAAAGTCTAAATTTCTTAATATGATTTAGGAAGCCTTTCACTTTCTGACTCCTGCTTATTCCTGCAGCCTGATGTCTTACCTTTCTGCTCCTGCATACTGAACTTATTTCAGTTCCTTGAACATTTTAGGTACTATCTCACATCTTGGCTTTTGCCATGTTTACTTAACTGTCTGAAACGTTCTTCCTTTTCTTCTGCGCTCTTATTTTTTCGGTCATTGTGAACTTAACATTTAGGCTGCCACTTAGACATCATTTGTTTTGGGAAACATTCTCTGATACCTTGTTCCCCAAGTCAGGTTTGGGAGCCCCTCATCTGTGCTACTGTAACACCCAGTACTTCATGGTAGTTCATTGTGTAATTTCTGGTTTAGCTGTTCCCCTTCCCCACATTCCCCACCCCAGTATTGTGTCCTGAGAGGGCAGAGGAGCATGTCTGTTTTCATTATTGTGCTGTTAGTACCTTGCCCAGTATCTCATACGTACTAAGCATCACTTGCTGAATGAAATGTATAGCAAATGAGTGTTTATAAATATTTACTCTCTGTTGGATAGTGAAAGCTTTTCTAGTAGAAATCCGAGTTTGATCTCGTTTTTTAACATGAAGTCTTGGTGGTCTTTGGGGTGCAGGGTGTACCAGAGATTTCATTAGATCGACAAAGAACTCATCTCAAAAAAGATTGTTTTATGAATACTGTTTTGCTATTATTAAAATAATATTAAATATTCTAAAACAGAAAGCGAACCATTTCAATTCAAATTATAAGGATAAAATAATTACTTGTCTTGCTTATAAAAGTTATCTATGAAATGTGAATTGGAAATTTTATAATATGTTTTACACATATGCTTTGCCATCCCGTGAGTCATTAATTTGACTGGTAGAATTGTGATTTGCTAGTTATTTGTCATATTGCAGTTTCTGCTCGTGTAGAATTTTTTCTTGTACTTAATTTTGTAAGCACTATACGACTACATTTCATTCTTACAATTAGAATATTACTGTAAAATGTTTTTTAAAGTTAGAGGGCACTATAGTACTGCGTTATCAAGCTCAGTCTAATTGGCAGTTTTGGAAGGCCACTTGGCTACATTCTCTGGCATAAATTTGCTTGATCAATTATCAGTAGTACAAAGGTAACCTGTTACTTGCCCAGGATGGGCTGCACAGGGTACTAATACTTGAGAGTCACTGAGGTTCGGAGAGTAAGTTTCTGAGGTTTTGGAGAGTGAGATCCCTGTCAGTGTGTGTAGAGCTCCTTTATTCTTTATCAGGAATGCATAATAGTTCATCGTACCTTGCTTTACTGATGTACCTCAATTTATTTAACCACTTTTTGATCCATGAATATTTAGGTTGCTTCCAGTCTTTTGCTGTTACTAACAGTGCTACAGGGAATAATCAATCTTGTAAGTTTTATTATGCTTTGCTTCATTGTACTTCACAGATACTGCATTTTTTTACAAACTGAAGGTTTGTGGCAACCGTGTACTGAGCAAGTCTTTTGGCATCATTTTTCCAGTGGCATTTGCTTGCTTCTTGTCTCTGTGTCACATTTTGGTAATTCTCACAATATTTCAAACATTTTCATTATTTCTATATCTGTTATTGTGATTTGTGATCAGTGACCTTTGATATTACTGCTGTGACTTGCTGAAGGTTCAGATGACGGTTAGCATTTTTTAGCAATAAAGTATTTTATTATTTTATTATTATTATTATTTTTAGCAATAAAGTATTTTAAAATTAAGGTATGTACATTGTTTTTTTTAGACATAATGCTATTGCACACTTAATAGACTACGGTATAGTGTAAATATAACGTCTATATGCACTGGGAAACAAGAAATTCATGTGACTTGATTTATTGATACTTGCTTTATTGTGGCGGTCTGCAGTTGAACCTGCAGTATCTCTGAGGTCTGCCTAGCATGTCATTTACTATGTCCATATTTTGTGGTTCACAAAAGTTGTACCAAGTTATATGCTTCCACTGGTTCTATACGTTTCAGAGTGCCTGTTTTCCCTACCATTACTAATATGGCGTATTAGGTAACTAAAGAATTTTTGCTTTATACTAATAATAGGAATAATTCTTATAAAAATAACATAGACGGGCTTCCCTGGTGGCGCAGTGGTTGAGAGTCTGCCTGCCGATGCAGGGGACACGGGTTTGTGCCCCGGTCCGGGAAGATCCCACACGCCGAGGAGCGGCTGGGCCCGTGAGCCATGGCCGCTGAGCCTGCGCGTCTGGAGCCTGTTGCTCCGCAACGGGAGAGGCCACAACAGTGAGAGGCCCGCGTACCACCAAAAAAAATAAATAAATAAAAAATAACATAGACAAGGGTGATAGCTCTTTTGAAGCTAGTATTTAAAAAACCATATTGATAAATGTGAAGGTAATATACGATGTAAAACCAGGGAATTTAGCTTGTTTTTAGAATCCATACATGTCCTACTTTGAGTTCAGCAATATGGGACTATAAAAAAAATCTTACTTTGAAATGATCTTTTTTGTAAAAGAATGTAAACTCGAACCATTGTTAAATAGCAGGGTAAAGTGGATAAAAACATGGGGACCTGGGCTCTGGTCTCAACTCTGCCACTCAGCAACTGTGTGCCTCTTGATTAAACATGCTAATATCATCTTGTGAATTTTCTCAACGTTAAAATGAAGTGGCTTTACTGAAACACCTGGTTGCTTTAAGCTCAGTTCTAAGATATTTTTTCTTTGCTTCCTGCTTGGCAAATGCTTCTTCATTCTTTTCTCAGGCTTAAACTCATTTGTGTCCACCTGTGTAAAATCTTCCTAGAACCCTCACACTCCCCTCAAACAAACAAAAAGGCCATTGGAACTTTTTCTTCTGTGCATTCGTAGCGTCTTGGCAATAACTCTGTATTGTTTTTGCGACCATGTCTGGCCACCTCACAGCCCTGTCCTCCTTTGAGGGCTTGTGTTTCTATCCTTAGTGCCTGGCAGTTACAGCTCCGCAAATGTTGAGTGAATGCTCAGCGTCAAATTTGACCAGTGGGAAGAGTAGCATAATTAGCCTTGTATGACCACTAATCTTTGTGTCTCTAGGTGCTTAGGCAATGAATTTATTCATTGTTCAGTTAATCCAGTACATTAATTTATTCAGTGTTGCAAGTATGTGGCATAATCCTGGTGTAATCTCTACTTTATAGAGACCTTAAGGGCAGTTTTCATTGGGGACAGAACAAGAGTGTATGCCAGGCCCCATGAGCCAGAAAAGTTTTATTTGGGTGGAGTGTTTTGTTTGCAGTTGCAGCTCTGATTTTAGTAATGATATATTGTTATTATGAGCTAGAACAGGAGTGTGGGATGAGTTGAATTTGACAGATAATCCGAAATTTAGTGTTGGGGTTGATAAAATCAATGAGTTGAACCTTTAGGGCATCAGCCTTTTATCTCTCAAGGGCATCTTAAAATAGCTACTGGTGTGTGTATAGTTTACATGGCCCAGAGTGACTTACTTATCTCTATCAAAAGCCATATATCAGTGTTGGAGGGACTGAAGAGTGTATGAAATAATGTTTCCTATTCCCCAGTTACTGATTTAAAAGTTAGAGAATGCTGGTTTTTAGAGATTGTAAAAGATTATTTTAATTTGTTGAACCTAAATGCTTTAATATAACAACATAATCTAACTTGCTTCCTCTTTTAAAAAAATAAATATTGTTTTCATTTTGGAAACAATGACTTTTTGACCACTTCGGCAACTTAAAAATTTTTCTTGTTAAA